TAATTTCTGAGCAGAGCCTTCGTCCTTTGTACGAGAAAAAATTTTTCTCTTTGAAAGGGGCTTTTTGTGATCAAGAAGGACAGGTTTTTAACTCAAACACGGAATTTCTAAACATGGATGGTACGTGTCATTTGAAATTTTAAATATTTAACTAGCTGTAGCTTAAAACCGTTGTCAAACAAATGTATCCATAAATCAGAAAACATTTTAAACGAGGGTCAAGATTAGAACCAAAAAACTCCTGTTACAGAATGTTTAGTTTGTTGAGTTTGTGTTTGTTTTCTATAGCGAGATCTATGTTAAGAATATGTAGTGTGTTCGTTTCTGTTCCCATGACATTCCACTCCTTCATACTAAGTGCGTCGTCGCTTTCGTTTAGCCTTCTGCTTGCCAGGTGATGATTTGTAGGACGTTGTCACGTTCTCTTTGCAAACTGCTGTCTTCACAGCGCAGAGGCGATTTTCCAGGTAAATGTTCTCCATCAAAGCATGAAGTATATTATCACCTTCCTGAAGTGACTGCCTGTTTAAAGACTCGATAGGATTGGTAGTGCTTGGTCCCTGTTCCCAATCCTTGTCGTCCATTTCCTTAAAAGCCCTTGTAAACATGGTCAGGTGATTTACACGGAACCACCATTTACTCCAATGCTCTAGCTTCGTCCAGTCTTTGTTGTGGATGGTGTCAAATTCCGAGACCAACAAATTGCCTTCCTTCTTGTAATTGTCTGGTGCCAGAGAGCGCATCGAAAAGCAACAAAACATTTCTTTTTCGCACTCGTCTTCGATTTTGCTTGCTAGGGCTTTTAATATGCGAACTAGTGTCATTCATGCAAACAAGCCTGCAGGCTCTTTTAACTGATCGCTGCCAGTGAACCTTGCATCTCCTGATCACTTTCCGGGAAAGGTCTTCACCCAGACACTGTTGAATTCCTTTGTATTGTCCATCATCAAAGTCAACCAAGATAGATTTCAAATTCTTGCCATTTGCGAAGCGGGCATGATCAAACGTCACTTTTTTTAAAATCGTGGCGATGGACTTAGCGTAACTCTCACTGTCTTGCCTACTACATATAACTCTTGCTACCGCATTATACACGCACGTTTCGTCGTTAAAAGAAACAACGTTTAGGAGGTATGGGAAGAAGTCATTACCAGTAGAAGTAACGTCCATGAATAAATCCTCTGTTGTACTCAACAGTGCAGATTGAAATGGAGCCATGAAGAAGGCATACTTTCTGCAAGAAGTAAAGAGGTACTCGCTCCCTTTCATCTGATATTGACCCATCATCTGGTTGACTTATTCAATCACCATACAACTGGTTGCTTTTCACTTTTTTCCGAATTTTATCGAATCGGAGCACCTCGTCGAGTGGGCGTAGCTCTCTGTAAACAGACGTCCATTTGCCAAGGGCTATCTTCCTCTCTTTTTAAACGCAGTCGGCATTTGCTGCAGGCGAACTAGCTTCGGCTGGGACGTAACCAATTCCAAGGCCCTTCACACTGTCTTTTTTTTTTTTTTAGCTGTCATCGGAAACAACTCTTTGGATGTCTTTCACTCTGCTTGATATGCTGTGTGGAGCTGGTTTGTTGCGATTGTGTCGAGTTCCCGGTACAAGACCAACCATCGCCTTCCATCGTCATTGCAGGGCCATATGTAGACCATATGCAAACTACATGGTGCAGATGAAAGAAGAGATTAATTTTCCCAGTGACGTAAGCATCGATTTATCTTTTGTCTTTTAGAGACCACATACTCACAGTCAGGGCCAGCACAAGTTTTCACGCCTTCACAAGGCCCCCGTCTCACGTACAAGGATGTCTTCTTACCTTCTACAATTATGTTGTGCTTCGTTGTTTGCGAGCCTCTTATTGGCAGTTGGTTGTCATCCCAGATAAAATGTGGCCGAGTATTGGCTTCAAAAGGCAACCTGCGCCAATCTCTTAAGGTGGCCAATGGTTTCTGTGAGGACTGTAGGTCAGTCTCGAATCCGGGAAATTCGTATTGATCTTTGTCTGTCAGCTTGTGCCAAGTATCAGAATGCTTCAAAACTTCCTTTAACTTTGGTAGGTGATGGTGTCCACGTCCACTCCTTTTCTTGTAAGTTTGGGTTGTCCAATACACCCAAACTGAGTCCGATGGACCAAGGTCATGAACAACCAGACTCGCCGGAAGTCAGTTCGCGAGAGACTTAGTAAATATACAACAAAGTATAGAGTTGCGGACTGGGTGGAAATACATGTCGGCAAACGGCCGGACTCCATCAAATCCGATGGAGACGGGTTGCCGTGGCAAGAGTATATCGAACTCGCCGCGTGTTAGTTCGCTAGATACTTAGAAAACATACAGCAAAGTAGAGTAGCGAAAGGGGTGAAAAATGTCGGTAACGGACTTCGTCGGATCCAATGGAGACGGATTGCCGTGGCAAGAGTCCATCGGACTCGCCGCATGTCAATTCGCGATAGTCTTAGAAAATATACAGCAAGGTAGAGTATAGTGAAAGGGATGGAAAATGTCGGCAAACGGACTCCGTCGGATCCGATAGAGACGGGTCGCTGTGGAAAGAGACCATCGGACATCGCCCCGTGTCAGTTCGCGAGACACTTAGAAATATAAAGCAATGTTGAGTATAGTGAAAGGGATGGAAAATGTCGGCAAATGGCCTCCTTCGGATCCGATGGAGACGGGTTGCCCTGGCAGCATCTGCGCACTTTAATAATTTACCTGAACTTAAACTTTCACCAAATATCTCCGCCGATGAAATACGTCACAAATAAACTCCCAATCAACGAGTCAAGGTCTAAAGCCTTAACGATCACCGGAAAGCGCCTGGCGTCTAAGATCAATAATGAACTTGTTGTCACAGTTGAGGACAATAGGCTCGTAAATGGAAAAAGTCCAACACTTTTAGGTTTAACAATCGTAAAACGATAGTTACTGCTTTGTAGAATTTTCAGGATATAGTTCACAATCTTACTTGACTCGCTTCTCTTATTTTTACTGTGATACGCTCACAAAAGTATTTCTAGGAAGAGAGAAGTTGTATGCGACAATGGATACCTTCAATGAAATGACCCTCCATACGAGTATAGGGACAATAGCATTCTCACAACGCACTTCTACTTAAAAAAAGAAACTGGCTCGAACACGCTTGCTGAGTACGCTAGAGCACACTTAAATGTGCATATGCTTTTGTTTCATATAACACCCTACAACCAATACAGCGTGCGCTGTTGAAAAATGAAGCACGAGCAGGCAAACACGCAAAGCGTGTTAACCTTCGAATAAAAAGCTAGCGAGCGAGCGGACACAGCACACTAGCGTGTAACCTCGTGTGCAGCACGCATGTTAACTGAACATAAAGCTAGAGTAATCATTACTCAGTCAATGTACTCTCATTCTTGAAGTAAAAACCGAAGCTCGTATCGATGTTTATAATTATCAACTTCCTGATCAGAAAAAACAAAGTTGAAACATTTAGCCGCGAACGAGTTGCAAGGATTTAAAGCAGGCGCTCAAATTACTTTTTCCATGTAGAGAGTTTACTTTTAATGATGTTTGTGGCATGTCGAAGCACAAAATATGTTACCCAGTGCCGGACAAATTGCGACAATCGCGCAAGACATTCATGAATCGCCATAATGTATAGCCGGTAACGGCCGAAACATTTGTGTCAAAGTATATTCCATCGGATGGCCGGAGCTATTTTTAAGGGATGGTAAACAATACCAAAAATGAGAAATAATGTTGTTGTCAACAACTCATTGCTTTCGAGAACACTACGAATCTCAAGCGAATGATTTCCCTTAGTCACACGTCCAGTCACGTGCCTTCACTTGATTCAATCAACGCAGTAAACAAATTACGAAAACCATCATGATTCTCGGAATTAGCTCACAAGCCAGAAACTTCTCTTCGATAATGTGAAGGCGTATAACTTTTAATTAATTTTTTAATATTAGAGTGGTGACCAACGGGAATGATCTTCGGCAACAAAGAAAAAAAAATCACGGTAACTATTTTGTGCATACCAACAACGTTTACGTTTGGGAACCATACGGCGTTAAAATTCATTTGTCACAGCCATTTGTTTATTAATATTTAGCTTACCCATCACGGTTGAGTGTTATTGAGTTCAAGTGATATGAAATTAACTTATGTTCAACACATATTAAAAAAACCAATCATAGCAATAGGGAGTTGATATTTTAAGTTGGTAAATCTTTTGGTAGTTTTCATTATCTGTTAAAAGCTCTTCAAAGAAAATTAAATATGTTCGTTTTGTAACTATGTGATCTCTCACTTAAAAGACTTTATCTTAAGAGAGAACTACATTAACCCAGTCGATCTGAGACTACCTGATATCCAAAGAGTTCTGTGAATGGTTAAGAAAGTAAATTTTCTGAGTTGAAACGGTTTTCAGTGACTTGTCTTAAATGTTTGACTTGAATATTTACAAAATTTAGGGACTAATTATCTGTCTAGGAACTTTTTTTATTTGAAATGACCTTTTAACTGGTTCACTAGCTCTCGAATAACAGCCGTTCAATCAATTTAACCTTTTCACCCCCAGATCTGATTAGTAAATCTCCGTAATGTCTGCCAACCAATTTTCATGATGTCAGCTCGGAAAATTTGGTATTTGATCGACTATAATCTCCCAATTGACATTTTACTTCATTCTCATCACTTGTCTGCTTGATATTGTATAGATATTGTAAGGAGAAATTCTTTCTTGGTCACTCATGGGAGTTACGAGGTTAAGCTGGGACTTCCTCTCGACTGGAAAATGTGATTGGTCATTCTTTAACCTTAGGAGGATTTTTCGTTAAATTTATTCAGCGCAGAAAACATTCCCTGAAAGTTCTGTTACTGTACATCGGAAAACATACTTTACAATGGTTGTTGTTTTCTACCTTTGTAGTTTTTGTAACAGCGCGGTTATCATCAGAATATTTTGGATAGTCAAGCTAATGAGTATTTTGGCATCGTTCTCTAATTTCGTACTGTAAAGTTAGTCAAACAACTTACAGTTTGCCGAGTTCTTCATCATTGATCTCTCTGTGCATTTCCCATTCCAATTCTCCAATCCTCTTTGAGTCCCTGTTTTCATCCTCATCTTCCGACTCTGCAAATCCAATAAAGAAATTCATCAGTAACATAAAACGCACACGGTTAGCTTTATTTCGTCAGATAAGCCATCTAGTATGTTTAAACTAGCACTATTGGTCTTATTAGAGTCCTTATAGCTTAGCTTTAGGTGGTGTAAAAATTAAAGATTTTTCGTCAAGCAACTTGTCGGTAAAGGGCAACGTCTCTTAATAATTGCTCGGGGTTGATCGATGATCTTTAGAAAAACTGCCTAGACTTTTGGCAATTTCTCGGAAAAAAAATTTATTTGACTGTTATCAAAAATTCTGCTCAAGTTTTCGAAAAAGCGATTTCGGATAACGACAAATTTCTCTTCAGGACGCCCCTTACTGAAAGATCACATTAAAAGATCTCAAAAAACCTTCAAAACGAACAGAATTTTAGGTTGAAAAAGTTTAACATCATCGACAATGTTTGATTGATTGACAATTGACTTCTATGAACATATTTCACGCGCAAGTTTCTGTTAATTATAACATTACAGACAATGACAAAGAATTTCTTCAATACCAATGTTTACCATCAACAAAGTATCTGCCTGCAGTATTGTCACTTCTTCAAACAGTACTGCAAGTCATCTCCTTCAAACAGACATCGAATAGATTGGGGAATGGAGAAACTACGAAATATTTTTGTTTTCAGCAAAATAAAATGTTCAGTTTACTGGACGCAAACCTGCCCCATAAACTATACATAACTTAATCAGTCGTCACAAACTAAATAACAAACCTTATTGGATGCTTCCCTCCATCTTCATTTTCCTCCCTTGTATCTCTTGATTTCCAAATTTTTGCTTTCATTCTATTCTTGACCCTGCCCTTGAAGAAAAAAGAATGTTATGAGAGTACATGTACGACTTTCTTTAAATAAGTGCTTCGTAATATCCAAAAATGTATCGTTTTTTTCGGCTGCGAACGAAAAAAGGAAAATAGCAGATAATTTTTTTTATCAGCTTAATCCTAGCAATAATAGTTTTAGGCTTGCCATTTTAATCAACTTTAAGATATTCTCTAGAAATATGTCGAAGTTATGGGAATATTTGTCAGGCTAAAACATCGCTATAATAGATAGGTTAGATGAATTTTCATGTACGATAACCATTACGCAACTCTTTGACACCATTGTTTTAGTATCAACAGAAACAAAGAAAAAGATTAATCACACCAAAAGCGCTCTAAAGTAAGGGAATATGTCATTTCTTTTTTTTTTCTTTCGACCCGGTTAGTTTCTACTTGCAGTCCGTTAAATCCAGATTTACGCGTTCACAGCACATCAGTCGTACATACATTTGTATGCTTGTATTGTTTTTGTTTGGTTGTTTTGTTTCGTTTTGTTTTTTATAAGAAATTATGGCGCGCAATGTACATCACATAAAAAGCAGGTGCATGGTAAATAAATCTGCCTTGACACCATGCGGAATTTCTTCGCTTAACCCTTTAACTCTCATTAGTGACCAAGACAGAACTTCTCCTTACTACCATACCTGGCAGACGAGTGATGAGAATAAAGAAAACCTGTCAATTAGGGGAATATTAGTTGATCCAATTTCAAATCTCCAAACTAATATCATTGTCCTACCACTCAGTCCATCAGTGTGGGCGGCCGCACGAGAAATTATTTGGCTTGGCAGAGAGCCAAATAATTTCTCGTTCAGCCCCACCTAACTCAGGCAAAGAGCAGTTTTTCATTAAACCACCTCTCGCTTCGCCTTACACCTTTTCCCGGCCCTAGCGCCCCATCGCGTCAGACTCTAATACGAGTGTAAAAGGAACGAGCAGGTGAGGGGCCATACAGGTCATAATTTGATGAATTCGGCTGCGAACTGTTGCTGAGATACTTGAAAAAAAAATGAAGTACAACAAAGGCAAATTGATGAAGTAAATCAATAAAGGTAGAAAAAGCACCTGGTGAAGACAAGTAAAGACGTTTATATCGCTTTGATCAACCACACGATGCTTTTGAAGTTCATTTTTTAAATATTTTTTTTAATGAAAACAAGACATGTTTCGGATGAAACATCATCCATTGTCAGTTGTATAATGAGAAATAAAATGAAATTATGCAATAAATCGTATAACAAAGTGAGATGTTAACAAGAATATGGCAGACAGTAAGGAAAATTGCTAGTGAGATCTAGGAGTAAAAGGGTAAACCGTTAACCCCTAAGAGTAACTATCATCTAATTTCTCCTCACAATATCATCCCCAAATCACACATTAAGGTCATGAGAATAAAGGATATGGTCAACCAGAGAAGCTCTGGATTATGAAACAAATTCTCCTCATCAGCACCGTAGATAATGTATAGGGAACAGTTTGGAGAATATGCATACTGATTTTAAGGCGGATGGGGTTAACTGAATTACTCACCAGATTAAAAGTTGTCCGGTTTCTCTTTCCTCCCTCGAATTTCTTATTTCGAGAAGTTCACATTCTATGCTTGATGTTTTCCTAAGGAGAGAACCAAACTTCGAGATATAAATGAATTGATTTCTAAAACGTTCACATCATTCTTTAAGTATGCACATCAGTTTAATGCGTAAGAACGGTATCTATATCGACAGAACTCCATCAGGAGATAATAAAAGCTTACATTCTAATACAGAGAAGAAACATTACATTCAACATCCTTCGAGAAAGTGAAAATCAATTTGAGATAAAGGCTATTTATTCCCCGCACACGAAACTAATTATAACTCCCACAGCCATTAACGTATGTTCCGGTATCTGTGGTATGATGGCACATGTACTAAGAGCCTCGCTTCTTCTTCTTCTGGTGGGGCACCCTTAAGTAGTTTGTCAGATTTCTCTGACAGTTCACCGGTAACTATTTAAACACCTGGCAGAGAGTTATTGTGAATGTTGAATTTTCTCACCAAAACACATAACACAAGGTTTCAACCAAGACCTTTCGATTCGGCTGATTCGAGCAGGCGCGAGATATCTGGTGTTATACTAACTCGATGGAGACTAAATTACTCTGGTTTCCTAAATACATTCTACTTCAAAACGTTTTCAAAATCACCGGTTTTGCTCTACGGGCACGGTTGGGAATCAGAGGAGTAACATGCGCGTTTACGACAAATCTAATTTTGTATCCAAAGCTCCGACTTGAACGAGGGCAACGGCGAGAGACACGAATACTGCACTTCTTTAAAGATGAAATTACGCATGAGCTATTTACCTGGAAGAAATTCGTGACAAAATGACATTCATTTATCCTCGACGTCGAATTTCGGCCACCTTATCGGCAACTTCGACGAAACACAAGCTGGACTTGACAGAGCGGACGAAATCTAAGGCTGTAACGTGAAAGCGATGTGTTTTGTGGCCCGAGAAAGGCTGCAAAAGAAGTTGAAATTTCTTGAACTTCTCACGTTCTTTCCACGTGCAGAACTAATCGCAAATATGAATATTAACTTTCAAAAAATATTTGTAATTCAAATGAATTTTCTGACTTTGAAAGGCGGACGGAAAGTACCGAATGGCTTTTCGGTCGCGGTCGTTCATTTATATTACAAAATTGAAGGACCAATTAAGAGCTAATTTTGAACTTGATATTAAACTTCGAAGGGTTAATTTATTGTCAAAGTAATAGAAATACTAAGCAGAACTCAGATGAAATAAGCAAATACATGAAATAAAGAAATGAAGAAATGAGAAATATAAATTCCTTGAAAATCATTCTTCTCATCATTCTTAGCTGAGTTGCCAGGTGTTACCTTCATAAAACAAGCGAAAAACGAACTTTCGTTCTATCAATTTTCGTTTTGAAAGGAAAGTTGCTGCCATAGACGAGTTTGTAAAGCGTGGTTATAATACAGTAAATAAACTTTGAATCGTTTGTCCTATGATTAGAAGTCATTATCAACTTACTGAGATCGCGACTTTTCCACTGTCTTATTGCTGGTCTTCGTCAGGCGATGTAGTCGAGCAAAATTTGCAAATAATTTTTGAAAAAGAGTTAGATTGGTGGGGAATCTGTAACCAGACTAGGAGAATAAGATAATCACTCGGATTTTGAAGATGGAATCTGAATTTTCTCATATTTCTCTCCTTGGTGCCTTTCCGGATGCTACCGATGCCTTTTCCGAAACCTCCATTGTTTATTACAGCAATAAAGATGTATGTACAATCAACACTATTGAAACATTGCTTAACATTTTATTTAGCGAGGTAAACAGTTAACATTTCAGCTTCACAACACGATTGTTTTCCGCAACTACAAATGATCTGTCTTTATAAGACATTATGTATTTAAGTAGTTTCACCGCTGACCACTCGTATTTCGGTCTTTTTTTTACCCCGCTCGTCGCCTGTGATGTAGTAACTTGTCACGCAAAATTTCTAATTTGAATTAACATGATCCGCTCACATGATCTGTGATCCGATCTGTGATCCGATCCATGATCCGATCCATGATCCGATCCATGATCCGATCCATGATCCGATCCATGATCCGATCCTTGATCCCACCCCGCCTGATTCGGGTTTTTTCAATGTCCTGTTTTGTCCGATCAGGTCTGATCCGGGTTTTGTCAACACCCGTTGAAAAATGCTACATCCACGCCACAAGTTCCCCTAAAAGAAGGAAATAATCTTAAGAATCTGTACAAATCCTTAATACACAACATTTAAAAAGAAAGATTATGAATAAAACTGGCGATAATAAATAATTTTAACTGCTAAAACATTAGAAGCGGGTAGGGACACCCTGCTCAACTAAAAGCTGCGTTATGTTTATACCACACACTAGATCTGCGCTTGAGCTTACAGCTACATAGAAGATTCACTCACTTTATTTTTCTTTTTCTTACAAAATAATTTAGATTATGTTGACCCGCAGATAGCAAATTTGCTATTCGAGGCGGGTCAATCATCAACAAACATTATTTACAATATATAAAGAAAATTAAATAGTTAACTAAATAGTTAGATATTGTTAAATTATAAAGAGAAGCATAACTGGTAAACACATCAATAGTTGTTCAATAAAGTATAGAAGCAAATAAATTAGTACTGAAAGCAATCGGATCAATTTGTTTTAATTATGCAGTCCTTAAGTTTAGAGGAGATCTTTTCAACATCAAGATAAGAATCTTCATTATCTAGTATCTGAAATAAAGACGTTTTTATTTGTTTATTAAAGGAATGTTTTGATAACGTTTTGAATTCTTTCGGTATCTTATTCCAAATTTTGACACCAACACGCGAGAAAGCCTTTTTTTGTAGGTTAAGTCTAGAGTACTTTGTACTAAAGAGCTGCGATTTGGATGATCGAGTATTGTGGGTATGAATATGAGATGTTTTAGTAAATAGTTTCAAAATATTAATGGGAGCCCTCTGGTTGTGCACGTCAAACATAAGTTTACTTACGGCTTCATAATATAGGAACGTAACAGGCAGAATTTTTGCTTTGGCAAATAAAGGGATGGCATGCTCTCTTCGATCGGTGAAATAGATTAAGCGCAAAACTCGCTTTTGAAGAACTAAAATCTTGTTTAAATAAGCATTTGACGCATTGCCCCAGGCAAGGAGTCCATAAGTTATATAAGGTAGAATTAATGAATTGTAAATATTTACAAGGACAGTAGAGGGAACGAAGTACCTCAGCTTTGCAATCATCCCTATTGTTTTACTTATTTTTACGATAACAGAGTCAACATGGTTTTTCCATGACAAATTTTGATCAATTAAAACGCCTAGATATTTGATATAACTTTTTTGCTCTAAACTAACTCTTCGGTTTGTCTCACAATCTAAAATACCTATTTGTGGAGAAAAATGCATTTTTTTTCTGACGAGGACGAAAAATTAAGAAATTTGTAGTTAACCAGTCATGTACGTTATTCAACTCTACATTAACCGTTTGCTCGATCGCCTTAAGATTCTTATCAGCATAAAGTATATTAGTATCATCCGCAAAGAGATAAAATTTTAGTTTATCAGAACAAAGGTAAATGTCATTTATGTAAAGTAAAAATAGAAGAGGTCCAAGGACTGATCCCTGGGGGACACCACAGGGGGAGATAAGTTTTGTTGATAAGTGCTCTCCAATCTGAATTGTTTGTGTTCTATTTTTTAAATATGATTGAAACCAGTCATTTATCAATCCACGGAAACCGTAAAAGTTCAATTTATCGAGTAATATTTCATGATTGACCGTATCAAATGCCTTTTTCAGGTCAATGAAGACACCGCATGAGAAGTACCGTTTATCCATATTACGTAGTATATGTTTCTCAAGCGTCTTCGTCTTCGTCGCAGCATTAAAAGGGAAAGCAAAACCTCTTCATCCTCCGACGAGCTTGAATCTAGATTTTCACCGACATCTGCCATCTTGACTTCAATAAAACATGGCAAGGACGCATGCGCATGATAGCATGATAGCTCAAAACGCGCGCACACTGTGAGTCAATATTCACTCGTGCACGAAATTATTCAACATGTTGAATATTCTGAGCTCATGGCACGCGTGACAAATATCGCAGAACATGACACCGTACACTTGAGGAAACAGCTTACGCCAACAGCCACGAGTGACGCTCAGCTCAGCTGATAGCTCTAGTGTGCGCCGGGCTTAAAGGTAACACCGAACCATTTCATTTGCGTACGAATTACTTTGTAACCATAGCGTTGGCATTCACATGTAAAAATAACATGTTACACATGTCACATTTTTGCGGGAGGTCTTCCAGTAATTCACTCCTATTTGTTTAATGAAAAGGACATGGCCGCATGGAGATACAAGTGACCCTCTCTTAATGAAATGGCAATCCACTTTAATTTCGTTGCAAAAGACACAACTGTTATTCAATCGTAGAGACTATGTAATTTTCATGATTTCGCGCGAAGGGTCACGTGGTTTTTACAGCTATTGTTATAACAAAAGTCTTTATTTCCTTGCAGAGAAATGTTACAACTGTGGAGCCGTAGGCCATATTCGGGCTCAATGCCGAAGACCCAGGCGTCGAGATAGAAAAGAATACAAAAGGGACAGTGACGTGGGTGGTATTCATTACCACTTTCACGGCACTGTCCAAAATCTTAAAACTTCTTAATAAAGAGTGTTTTAAATGTGAAATGTCGGATAGTGCATCATTTCTAAATTCACATGGCAAGGGATAATGTGGGTAATGACTGGTCTTGAAATTGCGAACTGGAACGATAACACATCCTAACACATCCACACATACACACCCACGCTCACACAAAAAAAAGCAAGACAAGACATTCGAATTCAAACTAGACTGTGATAAATTTCTTAGTTTATCGTAGGAGCACATATACCACTCTACAGTGATAAAATTGTTATAAACGCTATGCCCGTAGAAGCTATCCATACCTTGTCACTTTTCAGGCTTGACTAAAAATTTGTCGCACCACTTACTAAAGTGGCCTCGCTAAAACATAATAGAAAAAAAGAATAAACACTCCCGCTACTTAGATACTGTAAAATTGTACTCCTGTTAATAAACTAACGGCGTAATTTCTTCCAGTCGGTGATGTTTATATGTAAGATTTTACGGATTTTAAAATCCGGTCGGTGATATATGTAATGCAAATTTTACGGCAGTAATATAATTTAATTATACATTAATTTATCATAATTAATCTACCGACGCAGATAGTGGCGTAAAATCTTGCAGTATATAAACTGTTAATCACATATTACGCCGTTATATATATTCCCAAATGCAGATTGCATGTAGACACAGAAGGTAGACTTAGTTCAAGAACAATTTTCTTTTGTCCAAATTGATCTCACACCTGACAATTAACATCTTATAACTTCTTTATCAACTTGCTGAGGTCATATTCCATGGTGATGGAACCTTTGGAATAAAGGGGGTAAGTTTCTGCTGCGTCGGTGGGAGAGTATAACATGGTAATTTAGTATTATTG